GAATGCCATAAAACTACTTTTTTTTTCTCATATCCAGATTGGGTTTTTTGTTTTTAATCCTGTGAACTGTAGATGATTTCACAGAACTTTACCTGGTCTCATTATATTTTCTAATTCTGCTCAATGCTTATATTAGTCACATATGAATGATTCTGAAGGCAATGCTGTGACTGTAAATATTGTATACATGAAACAGTTTCTCACAGCAAGAAATATACATACCTCAGATTTCTTCCCTATTTGAATGAAATTCTGGAATTCTGAGTTTAACATGGGAAACTATATAGTTATTTATTTCTTAAGTAGTATGAAGTTTATACTTTCCATAGATATTTTCCTAACCCATTTTGATTTGCTAAAATACCATTTTACAGCAAATTTTCCACATTAATAGTGCTTTAATATCTATCATATTAACAAGATTTATGCAATGGACTTATTTATGTGCTTATCCTATGCCAATTTAATACATTGTGTACTATGCAGTGACAGTGTTAGCCATACAGAAATGAGTTTCAGATAAAGGCAAACTGAAATGTTTTTATTCTAGGCATATTAACTGCTTGGAAATATCTTCTGAACTTTGTTGTGTTCACAATACTTCTCTTAATAGATCATTAGTTCTTTCTATGGTGTCATAGTAAATGTCATTGTATGAAATTTTTATTTTGTTGAGGCAAATATTTAGAAAAACAGTAGTTATGATGTACTATTTTAAAATGACATGATATATTTTAGGAGTTTAATATCTGCCAGCTCAATTATTAGTTCCATACCTAATTGCTGGTGTTTTCTGAATCCTATCTACACTCCTGAAGTCTGTGCCTCAAATCCTAGCTCAACTACCTGCTGCCCCAGCTTCAAAACTGACTTCGGCTTCAACCAAGGGACAAAGCCCTGGTTTAACAAGGTGAATGGGAATTTTTCATGTTTAATTCAGAAAAGAACAGGATCTTTTCCTACATTTCTCTTACAGGATCTTCAAAAGTATACCTACATGATACATTCATTTATGTACCAGTTCAGTACACTTCACGTACGCAGAAGTTCTACACTGACTGACCTTTGTCAGAATCATATTTTTACTTCAAACTAGTCCTTACTCTGACGATTTCTCTTTTCTGATATTTGTTATGTTTATTAAGCAGCCTTGGACAGCAGTGGACTCTCTCTCATTAACCATAGTAAATCATGGTTGTAAGGAGTGACAGAAATGCATCAACCAACTCTAGGTCTCTTGCAAAGCCATCTTATTTGGCATCACATCAGCAAGAATTACAGTTCAGCATGCAAAATTTTCTTCTTATCGGGTCCTATATTCTTCTTTCGAAATAAATTAAGAAGGAAAACTAAGGAGCATCAGAATGGGTAATATATGCATAACTGGAGTGTCAATAAATATTGGCTATTGCTTGCACATTGTTTTTTAAGCCAGAGAAAGGTAGGATAAGAGATCTGAGTCTCTTTCCTGCGTACTCAAGTGGTCTTGAATTATTATAGAGCTCTCACCACAAAAATAACTTGGTCCTAAACAGGGAGCAATACATAATATACCAGCTCTGATGTGAATTATTTTTATGTGGTTACAAGTTTGCCAGGTTAGTCTGAACTAAGGAGAAGAAGAGGAATAGCTGTGGACAACAGATCCCTAACAAAATGAAAGACATTCTGAATGGAATTGCTAATGGAATATATTGTAACCACAGAAAAGGAGAGAAAAGAGATGGGATTATGAAGAGGCCAGAACTAGGACTGAGTGATGTATCACAGGAATTACACTGAATTTATTTTTTTGCTTGGTTTTATATTTCTGAAACATCATTGGCCAAGGTAAAACAAAACAAAACAAAATAAAACACAGGAAACAAAGCCCCCCAAAAAAAACAAAACGAAAAAAAATGAGAAAAAGATAGTGAAGTGTATCTCAAAGTGGAAAAATATCTTTGCTTAACTCCACAGAATGTGTGACTTAGACTCCTGCCTTTGTCTTAGGCCCAGAGAGTTTATGGACACGCCAGTCATATGTCCACTGCTTCCCAGTCAAGATCACTGTGTTACTCATCTGCTCTCTTCCAGTGTGGCACTGAAAAATTAATATGTGCCAACTCTCCAGGGAGACTGGCAGCTACCCAGGTAGGCACTTCTCTCTGTTACTTCACTGATGACCACTGGAGAAAGGTGGTAATTGGAAGCCAGTCTTGGCACTGCACTTGCAGCAGTTGCAGCAGTTGCAGCAGCATGCAAGGGGTGATATTAGGTTTAGCCCTTCCTGGCTGAGATCAGAACCATCTGAAAAAAAATGGATGATGAAGCAGAATGGAAAAAACCAGATTTGCACTACTGTATGTGAGCTTCAGCTAGAAGGCAGCCAGCAGAAGCTATGTTGTTGTTTCCCAGCTGAAGCCAGTATCCAGCTGTGGGCCTTCTTTCTGTTCCTATATTCCATTTCAAATTCAAAGCCAGGTTAACTGTGGTTTAATCTATGTGACTGGATGCTTGAATGGATCAGAAGAGACATACCCATGAAGACATCTCAGCTGGGAAAGGAGACAGATGAGCAGCTAAGAGCATTGCTCTAGTAATTCATCTGCAGTACATAAAATGTAACTTGTAGATCATTCTGATACGCACTGTAAATGTCATGAAGAGTGGCTAGGAGGACTATGTGAAACCTTTGTGTATTGTGGTTTTGCTGAGGATGAGTAACAAATTAAGGCCTGATGCTAGTTTCAGACCAGAGCTAAATATAGACATGCACACAACCCATAAAATGAACAGATTTTTGTAATGCAAAAGAAAGAACAGCTATTGAGGGCTTCTTAAAGGATAAGCATTGTTTCCTGAAACAGAAGGAATGCTCTCTGTGTTTGAAAGTCTACCCTAAACCAGATACTCAAGTGTGCTAGAAGCACCAAAAGTGTTTTCTTGCTGAATGCCTTACCTATACATATGAAGTGAAGGTACTGATATATATGCACATGATGCTGCATTTTTCTCTCTTACACATGTTATTTGGTAACAATGTCAGATCTGCTGGTCTGGCATAATTTCCATGCAATATTGACACTGAAACCAGTACTGTAGTGGAAAAATATATATTCCAGTCAGCCTATATAATTTTTTTCCCCAGAGAAAGTAAAAGTGGCTTTTCTTGTGAGTCAGTGTCAAGGTCTTGTATTCATTTTTTGGTGCTTCTGTGATCAACTGTGAGTAACTCAAGAAGAGCAATTTTCTACCTTAGCACATCTTCACAGTGAACATCATCTTCTGACCATGGCGGGTGCTGTTTAAGCAGTGGACTATTCAGGCGGCACCAAGCACCAAGATTAAAAAGGACTGTCAGGAGCGTTAGATGTGCAAGGGAAATCAAGCATAAGTAGTAGCTTTCAGGCCATAAGGAGTCCTCCTTTCAGTTTCGTCTGCCTCAAACTGCTCCAGAGGCTGTAGTTGGTAGAACTTAAATATATTTATTCCCTTTTAGCAACCCTTAAGATATTCTTTGGGGTAAGCTTTTCTTACTGCACCCTTACAATGTCATGGTCATATTTTCAGTTACTAGGAAGGCTGACTGGCTGTCTGAAGCTACGTAGAAAGTTCTCATAATGGAGAATCACCTTAGGAAACTGAGCCAAGGAAATAGTGTGCCTGAGAAATAGTTAATAAAGACAAGTGTAATAGTAATTATTAAATTACTGTGAAATTAAAAACTAATAACATAAATATAAAATGGATAAACATAAATAAAAGAAACTAAGCATGCAGAAATTCAACGGCTGGTACATGCAGAACAGAGAGATATCTGCTAAAGGTTCTGGTTCTTTACAGTATTTTAGATCCTAGTAAATCATAGTCTGGCCTTCCTTATAAGGAAAGCCATTGATAATGCTAATAACTGATCTACTGTGAAATGTTTTATGGACATAGAGAGGACTGTGGCCTAAAGACTATATAGCTTAATGAAATTACATTAAACTACTTACTTAATATAAGAATTTTATACTTGCACAATAGAGAATGATTCAAAGCTTAGCAAAATTGAACTGAATTAAGTTAACCAAATCTAAATAATTCTTATGGAGCCCTGCAGAGTAGGACTCTTAGATCTGGAAAGTGAATATTTATGTTCTGATTCCAACACATCTGTCAATATGGATGTAGAGGACACAATTCTGTTTTTACTAGCAACTGATGACCAACAAATAGCCAGCCCAAGGACCAAAATATTGCTAGCTATGGGGATTTGCTAACAGAGTCCTCAGGGAATTG